GATCACCTAGAAATCATGTAAAATGCAGATTCGAGTCCATGACGTCTGCTGTGTGGCCTGAGATTCTGCCTGGTGTTGCTATTGCTGCTGGACTTGGAGCCACACTTTGAGTAGCAAGACTGTTATTATTTTTAACTTCTGTCACATTGTCCAGATTCATGGCAACCCCATATACAATGCACTAAACTCTGCCTGGGCCTGCTGCATTCCCATGATTGCTTGAAGATTGGACCATTTTACTTTATAGGGCTTTCATTGACTGATTTTTGGAGGTAGATCATCAGGCCTTTCTTTCTAGTCTTAGTTCAGAAGCTCTACTGAAACCTGTTCAGCATCACAGCAACACACAAACCTCCACTGACAGATAGGTGGTGGCCATGCATGAGGTGCACTGGCCAAAAATTGAACTTTGGTCTCCCTCATGGGAAGTGAGAATTCAATGAACCACCACTGTCTCAGCAAGATCCTAGAGCCATCATTTTAAAATAGAAGAGTCTCAACAGGTTGAGGCTTAACCTATATTTTTGAATTGCAAATATTTCACAAGAATGTCTTTGAATAATGCCGCCTCTCCTGAATCCTCTCACTGCCATCCAGTCGATTTTGACTCATAGCAACCCCTCCTTGGGTTTCCGACGTGGTATCTCTACAGAAGTAGATTGCCCCATCTTCCTTCTGAGGAGTGGCTGGTGGGTTTGAACCTCCAGCCTTCTGGTTAGCAGCCAAGTGCCTTAGGCACTATGCCACCAGAGCTCCTATACTCAGATACTGTAAAACCCTCTTTCTCTTATTTCAATGACCCAGCCGGGAGTGTCATGATAATTGTTACTATGTGTTAAAATCTCTTAGAAATGTGTGTCTTCTTTCAAGGAAAATGTATTTTGAGGGGAGGTAGTTAAAGTTGTGTGTCAGCTTTGCTGGGCCATGCTTTTGAGTGGCTGGGCAGCTGGATGTAGTCATTCCCCATGATGACACTGTAATCACCTCCATGGTATAATCTGCTGTGAACAGCTAGGTAGTTGCCTTCAGGATGTAGCCTACTTCCAGTATATATGGAGAAGCTTTGAAGAAGTTCTGGATTTGGGGCACATTTGGATCCTGCATTTGGCCGAGTCTATATCTCCAATTCCTAGACTTGAACCAGTGGCCTGCCATGTCGCCTGCTGATCTTGGGATTGTTCCCGGACTTGAACATTTCTGTAACCAAAGCTACATTTTCTAACTACTGATGCTTCTTCTTTGTTTCCAACTTTCACATTCCAATCATCAATAATAATCAATATATCTTGATTGCATGTTTGGTCAGTTTCCACTATCAACACCCACATGGAAGCAGCAGTCAAGATATCGAATGATGTATTGCATTGGACAAATCTGCTGCAAAAGACCTCTTTAAAGTGTTAAAAAGCAAAGCTGTCGCTTTGAGGACTAAAGTGTGCCTGACCCAAGCCATGGTATTTGAATCATCTTATGTGCATGTGAAAGCTTGACAATGAATAAGGAAGACCAAAGAATAATTGATGCCTTTGAATTATGGTATTGGCAAAGAATATTCAATATGCCATGGGCTGCCAGAAGAACAAACACATCTGTCTTGGAAGACTATAGCCAGAATTATTCTTAGAAACAAAGAACCAGTCTCTGGAGAAGGACATCATGGTTGGTATAGTAGAGGGGCAGTGAAAAAGAAGAAGACCCCTAACAAGATAGATTGACACAATGGTCTCAAATATAGCAGTGATTGTGGGGATGGCACAAGGCCGGGCAGTTTTTCGTTCTATTGTACATAGAGCTGCTATGAACGAAATGACTCTACAGTACCTAACAACAACAATTCATGCCAAAGCATTCAGTCCTGGAGGATAAGATCTAGACAGTTGGCTGTTCATTTTTGTTTTCCTTCAGGACCATATCCTCTTTTCTGATTCATAACAGCACAGAGCTCACCATTGAGGTTCTTGATTAATAACACCAATGATTAGAAATCATTTTATCTAGGTAATCTATATTGCACATAATAAGAGGGCAGATTTACGGGGAAAAAAGAGTTTTCTAAATATCTACTTTTATTGGGGATGAGTTGATTTAAACTTAAAAAAAAAAAAGGCATGTTTTTACCCTAATCATAATATCGTTGGGACAATAAATGAAAAACACTTTTATAAATGATATATAAAAAAATTTTATAAATGAAGTACACTTTGAAAAAAATGTTATTGTTGAGAATATACACAGCAAAAGATACACCAATCAACAGTTTCTACTTGTACAATTCAGTGACATTGATTACATTCTTCAAGTTGTGCAATTATCTTCACCTTCCTTTTCTGAGTTGTTTTTCCTCCATTAACATAAACTCACTGCCACCTAAGTTTCCAATCTAATCTTTGGAGTTGCTGTTGTCTATTTGACCCCATACAGATAGATCATAAAAAAGCACAATGCTCAAGACAGACATTCTTTACTGGTTAAGCAAAAACTATTTTGTGGTTTTAGGGAGACTCCAGGTAATATTTTTGGTTTAAGGTTTAAAGATTAGCTCATGGCAATAGTTTCAGGGGTTCATCCAGCCTCTATGTCTCCAAAAAGTCTGGAGTCCATGTGAATTTGAAATTTTATTCTGCATGTTGTTTTTGAACACATGCTTCCTCAAGCTATTCTATTTTAACATGGTAAATTTCATCATATATTATCATCATTATAGATACAATAGATCTTTGATATTTACCAGCAATATATCCTGAGACTTTTGTGAGTTTCCTTGTGCAAGTTCTTCTTCTTCTTCTTCTTCTTCTTTTTTTAATTGTAATTTGGGTGAAAATTTACAGATCAAATTCACTTTCCTACAGCAGTTCACATACACTTTGTTTCATGACATTGACCACAATTTACCACTATGTTGTGCAAGTTCTAATGAAAAAGCAAAAGTTCTATGGCCTCTAGTTACCCTTCAGGGCTGGAATTGAACTCTAGTGGCTTAACTTCCAGCCAAATAATAGACAGGCCTACGAGGTAAACAATTACACCAGGTAGGTACACTCCTTAGAACAATCAACCATGGTAGATCGGAAGGGCAGCATTTGCACAGGGAGATAACTCAATGGGCAGGAATGAAAGGAAAGAAGGACAAAGGGAAAAGGTAACCACAGGGAGGAACTGAGAAGAAGGCTGTTACATCATAGGGACTACAATCAATGCCATGAAACAAAATATGTATGAACTGTTGAATGGAAAACAATTTGCTCTGTAAACTTTCGCCCAAATCATCATTTAAAGGAAAAGTGCAAGTAGACTTTTGAGGTGCCTATGAAAGTGGCTACCAGAAAGAGGAGACATCAAAGTCCCCTTCCTGAGATATGGAAGTTGTGCTTCCTGGGTTAGCATACCTGCAAAATGTATTGTGACCCTTTTCAGGGGCCTCATAGACCTGGAGATTCAACTCAGTTGAACTACAGAGAACATGTCTTTTGGATAGTTGGTGTGGCTGGTAAATTAAATTTGATATTTGTTAAAGCCACAATTATCAAATCTCAAGTTTTGAAGAGTTCTCACATACAAATCTCTCTCTGGACATGGGAAAAATGTCTCTCTCTGGATATGGGAAAAACTTTGCTCTTTGCAGTACTTATCTGAGGAAAGGTACATGGTACTTCCACTTTCTATGGTATACATTTCTGTATTGTCTTAATATTTTACCAGCAGCATGCATAATTCTGGTTATTTTTGTAATTAAAAGAAAAAATAATAGAGTTTTTAAAATCCCTTGAGTGTGCATCATGGTGTTTTTCACTGAATAGTGCAATAGACTGTCAGTCGATTAAACCTGATTAGATAATGATGACCCTACATATGCTTTGAGAGAGGATTCTACAGCACAGGTTGATTTTGTGTATTTCTCTAGTTATTCACCAAACATTTCTTGAACAACTAGTATATGTGAGACAATGAGTTAGGTGTCAGCATACGGTCTTAATTGTACTTCTTTAAGGAAAGGAGACATCCATGCAGACAAAGAAATTCTTATTGCAGTTCATAAAACTCTGAAAGGCCAGGAACTTTTCTGCAGATGATGAAAGCCACAGGTCTGGGTGCTCCATGGTAGTGGATGCCCTTTCTGCATTTCTTTCATTCCTCCATAGAGCAAGCAGATCTGACATCAGAGATTTTCTGGATTTCTACACCAGAACAAAACACACTGTGAACTCAATTAGCTTCATTCTTAGGAATTTCTGTTTGCAGTTAATAATGATCATTAGGGGAGAAAAAAGGAAGAAAAGAACAATAGCTCCCTCTTATTTTTCTAGTGGTAGGGTGTAATAATATCAGGCATTCCTACATAGATTCTATGAGCAATAAGAGGAAATAAAAGTAACTATTTGAATAAACATGTTGTTGTTGTTATGTGCCATTGAGTCGGACCTGACTCATAGCAACCCCTACTTGGGTTTCTGAAGCAGTATCACTACAGAAGGAGATTGCCCCATCTTCCTTCTGAGGAGTGGCTGGTGGGTTTGAACTACCAGGCTTCTAATTAGCAGTCAAGTGCCTTAGGCTCTATGCTACCAGAGCTCCCTCAAATAAATATACTTTTCAAAATTGTGAAGGTGCTCATTCCTGGAGCTCTGGTAGCATAGAGCCTAAGGCACTTGACTGCTAACCTGAAGGCTGGCGGTTCAAACCCACCAGCCTCTCCTCGGAAGGAAGGTTGGGTGATCTCCTTCTGTAGTGATACCGCCTGGGAAAGCCAAGGAGGGGTTGCTATGAGTCGGGGCCAACTTGACGGCACATAACAACAACCAACTATTCTTAATAATCATGGCAAAGTAGAGTTTAAGCCCGAGCATGAAAGTCTCCATTTTTCTTAAAGCAAAATATTTATTTCACTTGCATCTAAAATAAATGTCAGTCTTGATACATCATAAGACTGGATAGATTTGTGGCACAACTCCCCAAAGCCAGCCATTTTTGTATTAATATCAAGTTTCCTGTTGTTGTTTCAGAACTGTATGTTTCACAGGAATATCACCAGTGATCTGAAAGCATTTACAGACAAGTACGGTTTTGATGTCCTCATCCTCATGGCCAGCTACCTATCAGAGGAGCAGCAGCCTAGACGACAGATAGCCGTGTATTCCGAGAACCTGGAGCTGTGCAGCCAGGTGAGGCCCTCCTTCTACCCTGACACATTGCACTGCATTCTAGCCTACTGAGAACACTCAGGTGGAAGATGAAAATAGATTGGGAGCTTATCAGAAACTGGCCCAAGGGATAATGTCCCAGAGTTTTAGGAAATGTTGGGGTGTTTTGCCACACTGGACCTTTTAAAGGAGCTTCACAACCATTTCTCTTCTAGACTAAATTCATTGTTGTTGTTGTTGTTATTTGCCATCGAGTCGGCCCCTACTCATAGGGACCGCTCCTTGGGTTTCCAAGGCAGTATCACTACAGAAGTAGGAATACCCAACCTTCCTTCCGAGGAGTGGCTGGTGGGTTTACCTTTTAAAGGAGCTCCACAACCATTTCTCTTCTAGACTAAATTCACAGAGAGATGCTTATTCATCTCTTTCTCACCTGAATAGGGAGCGTTCTCACTTGGGTGCTGTTTTCTATGACTGCTACCTGGCAATTGCTCACAAGGCTAATCCTTGTGTTAGGGTCGTAGGGCTGCCATTACAAAGTACCACAAATTGGGTGGCTTAACAATGGAAATGTATTTCCTCACAGTCCTGGAGGCCAGAAATACTAAATCAAGGTGTAGATAGATCAATGCTCTCACTGAAGTCTCTAGAGGGCAGATGTTTCCCTGCCTTTTCCTAGTTCTGGTGTTCCCTGGCAATACTTGGCGTTCGTTGGCTTAATAGATGCATCACTCCATTCTCTGCCTCTGTCTTCTCATGACTGTTTTCCTTTTATGTCTATCTGTCTCTCTGTGTTTCTTCTTCTCTTCTTATAAGGACATTAATCATATAGGATGAAGGCCCATCCTATCGTATATAGTATGACTTCATGCTAACTGAGGAGCTCTGGTGGCATAGTGCCTAAGGCATTTGATTGCTAATCAGAAGGCTGGCAGTTCAAATCCACCAGACACTCCTTGGAAGGAAGGTTGGGCAATCTACTTCCATAGTGATACCACCTCAGGAACCCAAGGAGGGATCGCTATGAGTCAGATCTAACTCAACAGCAGTGAGTTTGGTTTGGTTTGTTTTCATGCTAACTTTAATAATATCTTCAAAGACTATTTCCAAACAAGGTCAGATCCTCAGGTACTGAGGGTTGTTGTTGTTATTTGCTTTCGAGTCAGACCCGACTCATAGCAACCCCTCCTTGGGTTTCCGAGGCAGTATCACTATGGAAGTAGATTGTCCAACCTTCCTTCCGAAGAGTGGCTGGTGGGTTTGAACTGCCAGCCTTCTGGTTAGCAGTCAAGTGCCTTAGGCACTACACTACCAGAGCTCCTTTACTGAGGGTTAGGACTTTAATATATCTTGTTTGAGGGACATAATTCATTTCATAACAGTTTGATGCCCAATATTTAGTCATTGGTGATCTGATGATTTAATCAAAGTTAGTTTGTCTCCAGGTACTAAAATTTTGATGGGGTAATTAGTTGTATTCTCTAAGTTATATATGAGTCTTTTAACCCAATACTTTGGAAACAATAATTCAACAAATTAATCAAAACAGGCCATTGGGCATACCAAACGAGGTATATTTAATAATTAATACGAGAACACACATTATTAATTAATATGGACTGCAAAGACATAGAAAGGACCTATCACTAATCTTTCCTCAAAATTTTATTAGACAGAGTCCTTGGGTGGTACAAATAGTTAATACAATCGACAGCTAAGCAAATGTTGGAGGTTTGAATCTATCCAGAGGCACTTCAGAAGAAAAGCCTGGCAATCTGCTGAAAAATTGGCTGTTAAAAACCCTGTACAACAAAGGTCTACTCTGACACATACGGGGTTACCATTAGTCATAACTGACCTGACAGCAACTACTTTAATGTACCTCTTTTATCCACAGGTGGCTAGAGGCAAAGTCTCCATTCCTTTCTTTTGCTTATCTTTACCTTCTGTCCTCTAAGAGATCCTTTTTGGCTCTCATAATCTATAACCGCAGGTACTCATACCCTCCCTCTGTGCTTTCTCATGTCCACATATGAAAGAGCCCCTTAGCACTGCTACAATTCCATTTGGTTCTCCCTCTTCTTAGCCACCTTCATTTATGTATTGTGTTCATTATCTCGGGCAACACCACACAGACAGTTCCTCAGTCTCCTGGGATTTGAGCAACATAGTAAAAAATCTGTGCTCTAAAGGAACCCTTCTCTGACCTTTGGTCCCACAGTGGGTTAAGTCAGCTTCTGAATCTTGACTGCCTGAGTTCCAAACCTGGCTCCATCACTTTTTAGCTATGTGTTGTTGGATAATTATTTAACCTTTGGAGTCTTAGTTCCCTCAATGGTAAAATGGTGATAATACATCCCTACCTCATAATTTATGATGAAGATGAAATGAGGTAGGGCTTATAAGTTCTTGGCACTGTGTCTGGCACACAAGCCCCCATGACACAGTGGTTAGAGCACTTGGCTGCTAACTAAAACATGAGTCAGTTCTAACTCACCAGCCACTCTGTGAGAGAAACATGTGGCAGTCTGCTTCTGTAAAGATTTATAGCCTTGAAAACCCTGTGGGGCAGTAGTACTCTGTTTTACAGGGTCACTATGAGTCAGAATTGACAGCAAGGGAAATGGATTTCTTATTATTGTTACTATCTATACAAGCTCTATGGTTATTATTACTTCCACTAAACCTGTGGAGAATTTTTCAAAGGCCTATAGTGGCAAAATACCCCCAACATTTCCTAAAAACCATAAAGCCAAAGTCCGATGCTGGCCTCATACTGATGGTCCCAACTTCTCCTCTGCTTTCCAAGTCAGCTTTGGCTCCTACATTAATTAGTCTCTTCTGGGTTCCATGTCACTGCTCCCCATGGCACCAAGGGACAGCTTTGGCCTGAATGATGTTTGGAAAACTTTGCTTCTGGTAGTTTCTATCTCTTTCATCCTTTGCCTTCTGATGCTATCAGAGGATAAAGCTGGTTCTGTTAACTTGCTCCTAAAGAAAAGCCTTTCCTCAGACCCATTTTCCCTTATTTCAACACTTTTCCCCTAGCCTTGAAGGCAGTGAACCAGCAACCTTTCTGCTTTTTTGAAAACTTGAGTTTCAGTCTTGTTGGAAAATGATATATAATATTACACTGAGGAAAAAAATTAGATGCTTTTAAATTTCTTTCTCTTACCTTTCAGGAGCCAGCAAAATTGATTTTGAGTTAAATAAAAGATATCTTGAAAGGATTGGAGAAAGGGATGCTGTTATATTAAGTGATACTTTCCATGTTTTACATTATACAATTCTCAGTTGTTGGAGGGTTTTTTCTTTTCTTTTTTTTAAACAGATGGGCACATATTAATTTTTAATTGATTAATATAATCAATTTATTAAACCAATTGTAAAGAGCAAAGACAGCTTGAGTGCTCACCTGAACTCCTGTGCTTCCCTGACAGATTTGTTGTGAACTGGAAGAGTGTCAGAGCCCTTGCCTAGAACTGGAGCCCTTTGAGTGTGGCTGTGACGAGATCCTGGTGTACCAGCAGGAGAACCCTTCTGTGACTTGTGATCAAGTTGTTCTCCTTGTCAAGGAAGTCATCAATCGGAGGTGTCCAGAGATGGTCTCCAACAGCCGGACATCCTCCACTGAAGCTGTGGCAGGCAGCGCCCCACTCTCCCAGGGGTCTTCCGGGATTATGGAGTTGTATGGTTCTGACATAGAGCCACAGCCCAGCTCTGTGAATTTCATAGAAAATCCTCCAGACCTCAATGATTCTAACCAGGCTCAGGTGGATGTCAATGTAGACCTCGTGAGCCCAGATAGTGGGTTGGCCACCATTAGGAGCAGCCGTTCATCCAAGGAGAGCTCAGTTTTCCTCAGTGATGACAGTCCAGTGGGAGAAGGTGCTGGGCCTCACCACAGCCTCCTCCCAGGGTTTGAGTCATACAGCCCCATCCCTGAAGGGGCAGTAGCTGAGGAGCACACACGGTCTGGTGAACATGGTGAACACTTTGACCTCTTCAACTTTGATCCTGCACCTATGGTTTCTGGGCAGTCCCAGCCATCTTCCCATTCTGCTGACTTCTCCCCAGAAGATGACTTCTTCCCCAACAGTGATTCATCAGAAGGACAGCTCCCCACTGGGCCCAAAGGACTTGATGAGATAGGGATCAACATGTCTAGTTATTCATCCAGTTCACTTTTGTCAACAGCTGGCAAAGATAGCCTTGTGGAATTTGATGAGGAGTTTGTCCAGAGACAAGAAAGTCCCAGGGATAACTCTGAAAGAAATTTAAACTTGACAGATTTTGTGGGAGATGAATCTCTTTCACCAGAAAGATTAAAAAATATTGGAAAGAGAGTTCCACCAACACCTATGAATAGCTTTGTAGAAAGCTCACCATCCACTGAAGAACAAGCCCTACTCTTTCCAGAAGATATGACCCAAAATGCAATTGACACAGGCCACACAGGGCCATCTCAGTCCCATGCACGGTGCAGCAGCTGGTGGGGGAGTTTAGAAATTGACTCTAAAAATATTGCCAATGCATGGAGTTCCAGTGAACAGGAATCTGTCTTCCAGAGCCCTGAGTCATGGAAAGATCATAAACCAAACCCAGCTGATAGGAGAGCCTCTGATTCTGTATTTCAGCCAAAGAGTCTTGAATTCTCAAAATCAGGTACCTGGGAGTCTGAATTTGGCCAACCTGTATTGGGTAGCAGTGAGAATCAAGACCAAACTGAAGATAACTTGCAGTTTCAAAGCCTGCCCCCTGAGAAATCACGTTTGTCAAATACTTCTCAAGGAACAAACCACCTGATTGAAGACTTTGCTGCTTTGTGGCATTCTGATCGATCTCCCACAACAATGCCTGAGCCATGGAGAAACCCCACGGATGAAAGTGAACCAGTGCCTGTAGGTGCATACCCTGCCTGGAGTGCATTTGGTAAAGAAGGTGACACTACAGCCTTGAAAAGTACCTGGAATCTGCACCCAATGAGTGGTGAAACACCTTCCGTGATGGACCCACATGAGTGGGCCATGGCAAAAAGTGGATTCTCTTTTCCTTCAGAAAACCTAGTGAACAATCTGCTCAGTGATGCAAATAAAGAAGTAGCCCCAGAAATCTGGGGCAAGAAGAACAATGACTCCCCAGATAATTTCCTTGTATCTGGAAATCCCAGTTCTAATCTGGATCATGCATGGAATCATTCGAAGTCACCAAAGGAAGAACAGAATGGTTTAGTGGATCCTAAAATTAGAGGAAAGATGTATGAAAAGGTAGATTCTTGGAACCTTTTTGAGGAAAGTACCAAGAAAGGAGGATCAGACATTCTAGCTCCTTGGGAAGATTCTTTCTTATCATACAAGTGCTCCGATTATAGTGCATCCAACATCGGTGAAGATTCAGTGGCTTCCCCCTTAGATACCAACTACTCCACCTCTGATTCTTATACATCACCGACTTTTGCTGGAGATGAAAAAGAAACCGAAAACAAGCCATTTAATAAAGAAGAAGGTTTTGAGTCCAAAGATGCTAACTGTACTGCAGAGGAGGCCAAAATACCTCCTCAATCAGCAGAGGAGCCACCTAGAAATCGAATTAGTTCAGGTCCTGAGAACCTAGAAATGTGGGCCTCAACTCATGATGATAATAGTTCTGAAATAAATATCTCTCACAACCCAAATAAAGATTTCCTCCAGAATGAACAAACATATGATAAGAACATCTCTGTGGAGGATGATGTTGGCGACAGCAGCCAGTCTAGCTATGATGACCCCAGGATGATGCAGCTGTACAATGAAACTAACCGACAGCTCACACTCTTACACAGTAGCACCAACTCCCAGCAGGGGGCACCTGACAACCTTGATTTGTGGAACAGAGTGATTCTGGAGGACACACAGTCCACTGCAACAATCTCGGATATGGATAATGATTTGGACTGGGATGACTGCAGTGGGGGTGTGGCAATCCTCAGTGAAGGTCAAACACAAGGATATATTATTGAAGGTACTGAACTGGAAACCCGATTTCAAGTCAGACAACTAGAACCGTGGAGCATGGAGTATCCGGAAGCGAATCAGGTAGACTGGGAACTTCCTGCCTCTTCTGAGCCCAGCAAGGACACTGCTCCCAATGAATATCACATACTGAATGAAAAAAGTGGGCAGCTCATTGCAAACAACATTTGGGATTCTGTCATGAGAGATAATGATATGTCATCATTGATGTTACCCAGCCCATCACATATTACAGATTCAGAACAAAACAAATTGACTCCTGAAACTCCTGGCTCATCAGAAAAAGTTCAGGACAATTACATCCCAGATGTACTTGATGCCTCTAGAGCCAGTCAGTCAGAAGCACTTACAGCTGACCCTGACAACCAGGACATATGGAGGGAAAACTTGCAGGGTGATATAGCATCCTTGGCCTCCAGGCATGGGAACTCAGAGCATTTTTCACATTCAGATCTATGGGAAGGTCATAGCTATGGACAAAGTAGAAGTCAGAAGGAAGCCCTTGAAGCCACTGATAGAGTATGCATTGGTCAGGAGGAGGTGATAAGCTCTGAGGTGGACAGCACCTCAGGGAGTTCCAGAAAAGGGGAAGGTGGCCAGGAACTCTCTTCTCTAGTTGCATCTGAGCATCAAGAAATCTGCATGGAATTAGGCAAAATCCGGTCTCCTTCAGTCACTTACAGTCCTCAGACTGAGGAACTAGAGGAGATTTTAGAACATAAGAAAAGATCTTACAATCTGGATTCCTGTGATGTTCAAATAGGAATGTCTACAAACAACTTGCAGGCAAAAGATACCTATGAAAAGCACTTCCTGAACCACAGGAATTTGAGTGGGGCTACTGAAGTTTCAGGTAGGATGGATTTAACAGAAAATGTATCTTTATCTGAAATGGAGTTTGAAGAAACAGAGGAATGTAACATTCTGGAGCCTGAGAGAATGAATGAAGATTCACCTCATGAATTTCCCCAAAGCCTTGACATTTGTGATGGCCCTAAAGAGAATGATGTGCAGGTCAATTGCACAAGTTCTGAGATCACTAAGAATCTTGAAATTGAGAATACTGAAAACAGCCTTCCAGGAGCTAGTTCACCTGTAAATTGTGGCAAAGGTAGTATTTCTAGTGAGTATACACATTCAAGTGCATCAAGTCCAGATCTAAATGATTCTTCAGCAGCATTGCTTTCCTGGAATCACATACCCAATAGTGAGCATAAGAAAGAGAATCAAGATGGTTGGAGTGGGCGGAATTACCAAGAATCTGAAGCAAGTACCACTGATGGCCAAGTAGAAGTAATTTCTGAAATAAAAGACCTGGAGGAAAACCAAATGGAAGAGTCTGAAAAGAGCTTTGAGCACAAGGTGCCTAAATTTTTAGAGATTTGGAATTACTCAGTAGATGGGGATTCCTTATCCTCTTTATCCAGCCCCGAAACAGGCAAATATTCTGAATACTCAGGTACATATCAGGAAGGAAATCTTGTGGTTAGCCAGCAGGAGAAAAATAAACGTGACTTTCCTGAAGCTGTGCAGCTAGAAGATGCCAAGTCCATTTCAGCAAGCTCAAGCTCTGATGATGATCATGCAGAGGAGGAAGAGTCACTGGAGAAAGAGATCCATTTGGCCACTTACCCGGATGCTCAGAGTGAATCTAGAGCTTGGAACTCAATGAATGAATCTAATCAGTTATTAACCACAACTGATCTCAACATTCAGGAATGTTCTGAACATATAAACAGTTCAGAACCAGCAGAAAATGAGAGTAACTCAAACCCACTTTATGACAATCAACAAAGCAACTCTGGTCACTGGAATTTGTCACCACCATTAGATTCATTGGATAAATCTAATCAGTTCTTGGCCACAGCTGAGCCCAATGTTCAGGAATATTCTGAATATATAGGCATTTCTAAACCAGCAGAAATTGAGAATAACTCATACCCATTTTATGATGATCAACAAAGCAGCCCTGATCATTGGAATTTCTCACCAAAATTAGATTCACTAAATGAACCTAATAAGGTCTTGGCCATGACTGATGCCAACATTCATGAATGTTCTGAAAATGTAGGCAGTTTAGAGATGGCAGAGGATGCAAATAAGCCAAACTCATTCCACAATGATCAACAAAGCAGCCCTGATCAATGGAATTTCTCACCAAAATTAGATTCACTAAATGAACCTAATAAGTTCTTGACCACGAGTGATCCCAACATGCACGAATGTTCTGAATATGTAGGTAGTTCAGAGGTGCCAGAGGATGTGAATAAGTCAAACTCATTCCACGATGATCAACAAAGCAGCCTTGATCAATGGAATTTCTCACCAAAATTAGATTCACTAAATGAACCTAGTAAGTTATTGGCCACGAGTGATCCCAACATTCATGAATGTTCTGAATATGTAGGTAGTTCAGAGATGGCAGAGGATGCGAATAAGTCAAACTCATTCCACGATGATCAACAAAGAAGCCCTGATCAATGGAATTTCTCACCAAAATTAGATTCACTAAATGAACCTAATGAGCTCTTGTCCACGAGAGATCCCAACATTCATGAATGTTCTGAATATGTAGGTAGTTCAGAGATGGCAGGGGATGCGAATAAGTCAAACTTATTCCATGATGATCAACAAAGCAGCCCTGATCAATGGAATTTCTCACCAAAATTAGATTCACTAAATGAACCTAATAAGTTATTGGCCACAAGTGATCCCAACATTCAGGAATGTTCTGAATATGTAGGTAGCTCAGAGATGGCAGGGAATGTGAATAAGTCAAACTCATTCCATGATGATCAACAAAGCAGCCCTGATCAATGGAATTTCTCACCAAAATTAGATTCACTAAATGAACCTAATAAGTTCTTGTCCACGAGTGATCCCAACATTCATGAATGTTCTGAATATGTAGGCAGTTCAGAGCCAGCAGAAAATGAGAATAAGTCAAATCCATTCCATGATGATCAACAAAGCAGCCCTGATCACTGGAATTTCTCACAACTAAAGGAGACTCAAATACAGATTACTGCAGTGGACAGGGGAACAAAGTCTTCTCCAGAAGCAGTGAAGACAGGAGATGCTGCGTGGCACATATCTCCCCAAACTGAACCACAGACTGTGAATAATTCTAAATTGGAAATGCTTGGCTTCTCAGCTGAGAGTGTGGAGTGGTGGACTGCCTCTCCACAAGAAGGAAGATCAGTTGAGAAGGCATTTGAAAGGAAACTGTCAAACTCAAGTGATGTGTTAGAGATGAATTCTTCAGTCTACCAAAATGTGGATCCTTGGGGAGTACCCATTCATGGTGATATTGAATCCATGGAAACACATCGTACTAATCCTTTTGAGAATAACCATCAGTCCACCTTTCCGGAGAGTAATGGGAAGAACTCCCATGAGCTACTTTGGAACATTCAACCAAAAGAGCCAGACTCCAATACTGATGAGCTTAACCACCTGGAAATATTGGACCAAATTAAAGAAAAGGATTTGAGAGAGCAAATCTTTATATCTTCTGCTGGCAATGAACTTAGTTCTGGAACACATATCCAAGAGCAGTGTCAAGATGCCCTGCTGCCAGACAGAGATGAGTCAAACCCAAAATTTACAGGTGAAAATGAATGTGTTATATCTCATATTTCAAGTTTTGAATGTCAAGAAACAAACTGGTGGGAACAAGAAAAATCATACACCAGTGAAATGATAGATTCAAGCATTGCTTTAGAAAATGTCGCTGTTGTCAGTTCTCCTACTCAACTGATAAAGAAGTCAGGCTTAGGATGGAATGACTTTACCCCTAGTGAGGGCCCTCAAGGTATATTTGTTCCAGATATTTTACATGGCAATTTCCAAGAGGCTGGGCAGCTGGCCTCAGCTTCGCCTGACTTGTGGATGGATGCCAAACAGCCTTGCAGTTTGAAAGCAGATGGTGAGAATCCTGATATACTGACTCACTGTGACCACGATAGCAACTCGCAGGCTTCCAGCAGCCCTGATATATGTCATGATTATGAAGCAAAGCAGGAGACTGAGCACCATATCAGTGCTTGGATGGGACCTGAAGTGGAACCCAACGAGTTATATGTCACTGAACCAAAGATGGATGAAGAGCCCAGTGAGGAACCTAGGCAGGAATTTGTCCCATACAATTCAGGACTGTATTCTGAAAATGTCATTCCACTCCCTGCAGTCAGCAAACAAGCAAATAGAAGTGGTGTGTCTCAGCCTGTGTCTCATAAATTTTTTCTGGAACCTTCTCAAATAAATGATGAAAATAACACAGATTTAAAAGCATCAGAAATAGGAACCAGTTCAGATGTAGCACCAGTTTTAGGACCTTTTGACAGAACAATCCCAGTGATTGAAAATGCAGGAACCAGTATTTTTGTGACTCACCCAGAGCCAGCTCTGGATGGCAACTGCCACTGGGTATCAGAGGGCTCTGTTCCTGAAAGTCAGAGAGATGCAAGGGCCTTGCTTGACTATGAGCAACATTTTGCCACTGAGGATTCTGCCTCAGTTACTAACACTCTGCTCGTCTCAGACACAGGTTTGGATGTAAGTGAAGCTGCCTTTGACCACAGTTTCAGTGATGCCTCAGGTCTCAACACATCCACAGGAACAATAGATGATATGAGCAGATTGACACTGTCAGAGGGCAATCCTGAAACACCAATTGATGGGGATGCAGGGAAGCAAGATATCTGTTCATCCGAAGCATCGTGGGGTGATTTTGAATGTGATGTAATGGGCCAAAATATTGATGAAGACTTACTGAAAGAGCCGGATCACTTTCTCTATGGTGCTGACCCTCCCTTGGAGGGTCCCTTGGAGGAAGATGCCTTGAAGCAACCACTGGCACCATACACACCTCCCTTTGATTTGTCCTATCTCACAGAACCCACCCACGGTGCTGAGAAGACGGAGGAAGCTGCGTCTCCAGAGGATGAGTCTCTAGGGAGTGAAGTCACAGAGCTCTTGCTTTCTGCCCTGCCTGATGAAGGAGACAAGGAAAACCACACAGAGACCAAAGGCAGAGAGCCTGGACTCCAGCTGGTGGCGCTGCATATTCGTGAAGACTCTGAGTCCCTTTCTTTGCCTGTCAGAGGCTCAAACGTGGAGTCCTCCCCGTCCAACGATGTTGACTGGGATGCAGAAACAGATCATTCTTATTCACCAGTAGGTGGAGACATAGAATCACCAAATGGTAAGAAATGTCTCTCTCTACCTACCCCAAAAAACTGCTCCCTTAATTGAACTCACTCAGCTAGTGTATTTGTAAGATACCTCTTCCTACCCATGTGGGTGGACAGGAACTTAACCGTATCCACAATACATGCTTAACCAGGTCCTCAGTAACAACAATAATCTCTAATGCATGGAGGACAATTAGCCCTGGCAGTGCATGAGAAAATTAAACCACTCTATAAGAGAAAACTATTTCTTAAAATATCTTTTTTTTAGACAGATAGTTTGCACAGATCACAAATCATATAATGTGTTCATTAAAACTTGTTCTCCCCTTTTCACCTTCATCTTCCACTTCCAGGTTCCAATAAGGAACTGTTAGATGCGAAAGATGAAAAAACAATTCCTACCGAAGACCTTGAGCAATTAAAATACACGGACCAAAAATGCACAAAGAATGAAGATCATCATACACTACACATGGATTACATACTAGTAAACCATGAAGAACATTTGCCTCGGAAGTCAGAGGCCTGTGAAGCAAGAGAAAGCACATTTGAATTAGAAGAATCTCACAAAAGTTCTGAAGAAATGGGGCTGCCAGGAACTCATTTAGCAAATTTCCCAGACACACTGAAGTCGGCCTCCTTGAATGAAAGAAAAGACCATTCTACAGAGAGAGTGGTTTCTAAAGTCGATAAGAGATCTCCTGAAAGCCCTGAGCAAGACCAAGGTTGGATGGTCTTGGGACACAATGAAGTTAGTGATCCAACATTGGAAGAAGGTTCAAGTCAGCCAGAAGCCAGGATCTCAGGGTCTGGATGGTCTGCCGAGGCAATGGAGGCAGGCTTAGACCCCAGCCCATGCAAGGGTTACCTGATGCAGGTTCTGGGAGAAGTGAAGCCTCTAGAATCTTTAGCATTAGAGGAAACCTCTGATCTGAGCAGCCAATCAAGGAAGAACAAGAGCCGAGGCAGGGCTGGGCCAGATGCTGTTATGTTGCAGGCTGTTGCCCGTGACAATGAATGGGAAATGCTTTCACCACAGCCTTCTCAGAAAAACATGATCCCTGAAGCGGAAATGGAGGAGGAGACCGAGTTCCTTGAGCCTAGAACAAGGAAACCAAGACCAAACGGGTAAGCAAAAAGCTAGATTTATATTTTCCTGAAATCATTTTACTTAGAAACTGAAAAAAAAAAACCCAAAAGATTATGGCATACGTAGAATACCTAGATGATAGGAGCTTTGCTTATATTCGTTGGGCAAAACACACTATCAGCAAAAGCAACTTCTTGATAACCATGATGATTTATGTCCGTTTTCAGCCAAAAAAAAAAAAAAAAACCCTTTCTATTTCTATTCAGATTCTCATACCCACCCTTCTATCCTTCTATGCCCATCTACTCTTTTTTCTTACTGTTATTACTAGTAAATAGGCAGTTAAAATCGGGAGGGGAGGAGAGTACTACCATTTATTCCACATCTACTATGTGCAAGGCAATTTGTACACTTTATCTCGTTTAATCCTCACCCTGGTTTAATCCTCAACCCTGAAGTGGTAGGTATTATTATCTTCATTTTACATATGCTGGGGAGGGAAGTGGGGGTGATTTGAGCCTCTGAAAGGTTCTATAACTTGCTTATGATGAAGTAACCAGAGCGAACACTCCGGGATTCAAAACGTTACACCTCTGAAGCGTGCACTTTTTCAGTCTGGCACACTGTTACCCATACATAGAAGGCTCTTCTGGTTTTATGAAAAGATCTTACTTTTACAAGTGCAGTTCCTGAACTGCAAACGATTAACACACTTGGCTGCTAACTTAAAGGTTGGAGGTTGGGGTGCCTTAGAAGAAATGCCTAGTGATCTACTTTTGAAAAATCAGCCATTGAAATCCCTATGAAGCACAGTTCTACTCTGCTCATGTGGGGCTGCCCTGAGTCAGAATTAACTTGACAGTAACTGGTTTTACTTACTAATAGACATAAGAAGACTCCAAAACCAAACTAGTTACCTTCAAGTGAATTCTGACTCCTGGCTATACCGTGTGTGTCACAGTAGAACTTTGCTCAGTGGGGTTTTCATGGCTGTGACCTTCTGGAATCAAATCACCCCACCTTGCTTCTGGGGCCCCTCTAGGTAGATTTGAAACACCAATCTTTCAGTTAGTGGCAAAGCGCTTGGCCAGTTGCACCGCCCAGGGACTTCAGTATTATTTGCAGGGAACAGAATGTATTCTTGCCTTCATAGTTCGAGTTTTGCTAAAACTCTTTGGAGCCCTTCATTTCTCCTCAGTTGCCTTTTAAGACACTTCTTCTAGAGCCAGAGGTTAAAAAAAAAAAAAAAAAAAGGCTAACTCTGAAAAGGAACTTAAGGGAAGGGAAATAAATAATTTTTAGATTGGAAACGATATCTCCTTCCTCCTCATATTGTGTATAAATGACTGTGAGTCAAGAAATCTGAATTCCAGTTTAGCTCTCCCATTAGGATTAAGCTCAAGCTTAAGTATCATTTGTAAAATTAGTGGGTAGAGCTAAAGGAGTTCAAGTCGTCCTTTAGTATTAAATTCTATGAACTTAATTTGTGTGTAAGTAGGATGTGTCCAGGATAGCCTTGGCATTCACAAATTACATTTCTGGATAAAAGGAACAAAGAAAAGAAGCAGGAATATATTGAGGATTAGTAGAGTGGCCTAAGGAGTTAAACGCTCTACCATATTCAAGTGCAGCTTCATAAATCCAGCCTTTTTCTGTTGGCTTAATCTTTCTTTCTTCCTGTCAAGCTATTTCCTTCCAGAGAGACCCCAGATCTGTTATCAGAAAGAAAGCAGCAGATGGATCCCAGTAGCCCTGCTGGCATTGTTATAGATTGAGCTCAGAACTCAGACAGCCTTGAGTTGGCTGAGCCATTGTTTGGCTTCTTGTCTACTTTTTGCACATGTCCCTGATATCCAACAGACGTCAATGTTCAATTGTGCCACTAACACCTTTTCTTTCAATAAAATTGCTTTGCTCATTCTGTTTTGCTCAGCCTCTGCAGTCATAAAACCTTTCCCACACTGGAGGGAGAAGGGAAGTTAAAACTTTCCTCCTGGTATTTGCCATAACAGTAATTTGTCAAATAAATAATTTTCTCTTAATGCATTTGAAAGCTTCCTTCTGTGTAAGATTCTTAGCTAAATTTGAGGAGGATGCAGGTTGCCTAAAATAGTGGTTTTCAAACCGGGGTCTCCAGACTAGCAGTATCAACATCACCTGGACACTTATTTGAAATGCATATTCTCAGAAAATCTGGCATAGGGCCCAGCAATATGTGTTTTTAATTCCTCAAGGTGACTCAGATGCATGCTAAAGTTTGAGGACCATTGGTCTAAAGTATACTCCCCACCCTCTAGGAGTGCATAGTTTAATTAGGGAGTTACGACAAAAGTGGGAAGGTGGAAGATAATGTAAAATTTAAACCAAGACAGTTAATGACTAATGCCACTTTAACTATTAGCCAGCTGTTGTCGAGCTGATGCTAACTCATGGTGACCCTAAGTGTTTCTAACTTTCATATAGTTTTCAATGGCTGATTTTTCAGAACTAGATCATCAGGACTTTTTTGGGGTACCTCCAGGTAGAACCTCCAACCTTTGGGTTAGCAGCAAAATACATTAACAGCTTACACCACCCAGGGCTTCTCCCTTTACTACTGCTTATTGAGTTTCACTGTGTCTGGGCTATTCAGCTATTCATTTCATTGATTCCTCCCAGAGAGCCAATGAGGTAGGTGATAGTGTAGTTCTCATTTTATAGATGAAGACATTGAGCTTTAGAGGAGTTTAAATAACTTACAAAAGGGCAGAAATAGTATTTGAATCAAGATCAGGCAAACTGAAAGGACACTGACCGAGACCATGGGAATTTTCCAGCCCAGATTGTCTAGACCAAAGCCCTGGACAAAAGGAGAAAAGGGACTCCAGTTTAAGTATGACTAGCTACAATTCCAAGCATTTACTCTGGTCTATGGACAGTACCAAGCACACTACATACCCATCTCACTTTACGTTGTCAACTGTCTGAGGTCATAATTATCTAAATGAGGAAACTAACGTCAGTCCTCAGAAAGGTTGGATCACTTGCTCTGGATTATTGGTAGAAAGTGGAGAAACAGCCACTTCAGCTTGAATCTCTGACTCCAGAGTGTGCATTATGGAGGAGGTACCGGGGATGGCTTCTCCATCATACACAGGAGGCACAGGGCCCAGGGTCCATGATACTTTCAGAACTCCCCAACTATGATATTTATGAATATTGTAATTGTCTTTCTACTATGGAAGTCTTAGAATAAAACTTTGAGCATTTTTTATGAAGGCAAAAGTGTCTAGGACCCACAAAAGTTATACTGAGACCTTAAGAGATATAATTAGTGATGGGATTAAAAGGAAGTCATAACTAGGAAAGGCAAAAGCAGGGTGAAAGGAGTTAAGATGAAAGAAATTGTAGAGGCATTATTATGAAAATAATCATCAAGGAAATGTGATACGATAGTCATTATTTTCTAAACCAGAAATGTGGAAACATCTTCTAATACATAATCTGATGATAGAACAGAATATCCAAAATCAAGACCATCCTGAAAAAAGAAATTATGATGTGGTCTTTGTAAGTAGAAGCAGGCTTCATATACAGGCATTATAACACACCAGTGACAAACCAGCTTGTTGCCCTGCCTCCACCCAACCCCTCCTCATCTCAGCCCCCAAGCTGTTTTGAAAGCAGCAAGGCCTCATTTTCAAAACCTGAGAAAGCATCAGAAAGATGTCTTTTTCTCCTGGTATTTCACCTATTGACTCTTGTTCACAAAATGCACAGCAAGTGCTGGGAGACAACCTCCTCCCCTTAGATTTTCAGCACTCCATTCTGGTTCCACAGGGTAAACCTTCCCAGAGGCCTTTGCCCACACCTTGGTCATCCTCCACAAAGGATGGCACACCAAGTGCCTGAGCCAGTGATGGATGTTTCTGATCTTTCCCTCATGGTCGCAGAGAAAACCCGTGGAGTAATCTGCAGCACACAAAACTTTCTTGAGATGAAAAACCACTTAGATGTTGATTTTAAAGAAGTCATGGTTGCGAGAGTGTCTTTGAAAAAAAAAAAGAGTAATTTGGTTATATTCAAAAACCTGACTATATCCTAAGCAAGTATGGAACCACTAACACATCTAAATTCATCATGTGAAATATACAAAAATGTGACAATCTGTGTACAAATATATTGGCTTTCTGTGTGTGTGGGGAAAGGAAAATAGGTGTGCAGGACAATGAAAGAAAACAATTTCCAAAGTACCCATTGCCATCAAGTCAATTCTGACTCATGGTGACCTCACCTTTTACAGGGTAGAACTGGCCCCTAGCACTTTCTTAGCTGGTAATCTTTGCAGAAGCAGATTGCTAGCCTTTGATCTGTAGTGCACTGTGTAGATTCAAACGATCAACCTTCAGGTGAGTAGTCAAGTGCATGTTGATTATGCCTCCCAGGAAACTCCTGAAAATATTTCTGCAATATTGTGGAGATATTTGCAGTAGCATGGGCAAGGGGTGGGGAGGGGAGCAGGGAAGTGGAGTCATTTCATAAGTACCCTTGAAACAGTATGTAGAGGTAACTTGACCCTCATATTTGTGTACCTTTTTAAAAAATTGTATTTATTTTGTTGCTCTTGGTGAGAACATATGCAGCAAAACATATACCAATTCAATTATTTCAACCTGTACCATTTAGTGACATTGATTCCAGTCTTCGAATTGTGCAACCATTCTTACCCTGCTTTTCTCAGTTGTTCCTCTCCATTAACATCAATCCACTGTCCTTTAAAGTTCCTGTCTCATCTTTCAAGTTGCTTTTGTCAATTTGATCCCATATAGATAGTTCTTATAAAAGTATAATGTTCAAAGCAGACATTGTTTTACTAGTTAAGCTAAACTGTACTGTTGTTTAGTTTTAAGATTTCAGGGGAATATTTTTAGTTTACGGTTTAAAGATGATCTCAGGGCAATAGTTTTAGGGGTTCATCTAACCCACTGCCACTGAGTTAATTCTGACTCTCAGTGACCCTGTAGGATAGAGTGGAACTGTTGCATAGGGTTTCCAAGGT